GTTCATTGCCCAACGTTAAAAATAAATGAGTCCAGCGGTCATGAGACAGACCACATCAACAACAGGCTTAGGCTCTCGGGGCCCTTCTTGGAGATGGGGAAGAGAATCCGCCAAGGCACAGCCCAGCCTTGCCTGCCACTGAGGTCCAGACCTTGTGCAACGCAGGCATGGGATTTGTGGCAGGGCTGGCTGTCAGGAGATGTGACTGTGAGAATGGTTTGTCAACAATCTCTGCATCTGACCTGAAACTGAGCCTGCCCCTCTTGAATTTACTGCGTAGGCGATGGGTGGAGGAGTCCAAGAGCCTCTGCCACCTTTGGGCGTCTCTTGGAAAACTAGGGAGCCATTGGGTGATTTGAGCGCAAGATGAAGAAAGTATTAGGATGCAAACCCCACCCTTGAGAAATGACTGCTGAGTAGGAATATAGGATTCCAGGGTTGGAAAAACCTACCTGTGACAAGGGCTGGACAGGTGCCCCAGTTGTGAACACCCCTTGCCAGACAGTCTGAGTGTGGCCGATCTGGTCACGCCCTTTCCAAGGTCAGAGTGAGGAGCTGCACTGCACTCCAAGAGAACCACTTGAGTTGTCTAACTGATACAAGCAGATACCAAGGGAGCATGTGTGGGAGTGGATATCAGGATGTGGAACCAACATGAAGTTGGATCCAACTGAATTTATGGATATGGACCCACTAAGCAGAGATTCTGCACTTAATGTTGTAGCTCAGGGAGTTAAGAAGAGATCCATTTGGTTGGTTGACTGGAACATGGATCAAAGGATGACCTGCTGTGAGTGAGTTCGAGCTGCTGGGTCTCCTTTGGTTTAATGTAGAGTAGGGATTCATAGGCTTAGGTTTCATATAGAGTTAGGGATTCAAAGGCTTAAGGACATTGGAATGCTGGAGTGGATGTATCACTTAAAAGCTACTCACCCACACTGGGAAGATTCAGAAGACAGATCTTTCACCAGTACGTTGAGAGAGAGATTTGTGAGGGGCCCCCACATCCCTGAAGAGCTCCGTGATCCAGCCCTTACAGTACAGTCACTCAAATGGAAAACTTAAATGCAATGGGAGTAATTGCATTTGGAGTGCAGGGGCCAAGTGGCAGTACTCAGCCATCCAAGGCAAGGTCATTGTGGTTACCTAATGGACTGCAGAGGCAAAGCTGCAATCAGAATAGTCTGACTTGTGTGGATCTATGGCATTGGATAGTTAATTGTAGTGTTCTTAGAAGTGAAATACACAGGAAACCTATGAAATTCTTACTTGATCTTACAAGTTACTTGATTCTTTGAAGTTTTCTATATAAGCAGAAACTTACAGGTCAAATGAAAAGAAGTCTTAACTTGAATAATTGAAACAGAAAAATAATTAAAACAAAAAATCACAGCCCTCAATCAGCTTCCCAGGCTTGAGCCAGTTTACACAATTAAGCCCCCCTGAATGAATGAATGAATGAATGAATGAATGAATGAATAAACGAATGAATTGGAGGCTGGGTCCCTTTGAAGAAGGACCTCAGTACACCACAGCAAGTTTATGCTATTAGTCTTCCTCCTAGCCTTCCCCCAAAGGGACATATGGCCTTTTACCAGGGTGAATATGCATTGAGAAAAGGGAAATAATTAGACTTTTCAGGGATAACTGGACGCTGAACTGATACTGATTCCAGGAAACCGAAAACATCACTGCGGCCCGCCAGTCAGAGAAGGGGCTTATGGAGGTCAGGTGATCAATGGAGTTTTAGCTTCAGTCCAACTTGTGGTGGCTCCAGTGGATCCCTGAACCGATCCTGGGGTTATTTCCTGGTTCCAGGTTTGTAATTGACATACTTAGCACCTAGCAGAATCCCCACACTGGTTCCGTAACTTGTGCAGGGAGGGCTATTATGGTGGGAAAGGTCAAAGGGAAACCGTTAGCGTTGCCTCTGCCTAGGAAAATAGTACATCAAAAGCAGCATTGCGTCCCTAGTGGAGCTGCAGAGATTAACGCCACCATCAAGGACTTGGAGGATGAAGGGGGTGGTGACCCCCACCACACCCCCATTCAACTCTCCGATTGGGCCGGCGCAGAAGACAGATGGACTTTGGAAACTGATAGTGGATTATTGTAAACTTAACCAAGTGGTGACTCCAAAAATTCACACATCTCTGGTCCCTGGTACTGCATGCAGCTGTTGATCTGGCAAATGCGTTTCTCTTTATACCTGTCCATAAGGCCCACCAGAAGCAGTTTGCATCCAGCTGGTAAGGCCAGCAATGCCCCTTGACGGTCTTGGCTCGTGGGTATATCAGCTCTCCAGCCCTATGTCACAGTTTACTTCACAGTCATCTTGATCACCTTTCCTTTCCACAGATATGCTAGGGCTGGACGCAGTAGCTCACTCCTGTAATCCTAGCACTCCTAGCACTTCAGGAGGCCAAGGCAGGAGGATCACTTGAGCTCAGGAGTTTGAGACCAGCCTGGGCAACATAGTGAGACATCATCTCTATAATTTTTTAATTTTTTTTTATTTTTTATCTTAGACAGAGTCTCACTTGATCTTGGTTCACTGCATCCTCTGCCTCCTGGGCTTAAGTGATTATCTTGCTTCAACCTCTCAAATAGCTGGGACTACAAGTGCGCACCACCACTCCCAGTCAATTTTTTTTTTTTTAAAGTAGAGATGGGGTTTCACCATCCCTACAAAAAAAAAAACTGTTCAAAAAATTACCGAGACATGATGGTGCATGCCTGTGGTCCCAGCTACTTGGGTGGCTGAGGTGGGAGGATCCCTTGAGCCTAGGAGGTCAAGACTTGCAGTGAGCAGTGATTGTGCTACTTTACTCCAACCTGGGCAACAGAGTGAGACCCTGTCTCCAAAAAAAAAAAAAAAAAAAAAAAAAGGTATCTTGCTGGTTCATTGCATTGATGTCATTATGCTTGATTGGACCTAGTGAACAAGAAGTAGCAACCACTCTGTACTGATTGGTGGGACATTTACATGTCAAGGGATGGGAAAGAAATTCGACAGAAATTTGGGGGCCTTCTCCCTTAGTGAAATTTCTCGGGGGCCAGTGGTGTCAGGCCTGTGAAGGTATCCCCTCTAAGGTGAAGAATAAGTTGTTACAGCTTTCCTCCTACAACCAAGAAAGAGGCACAATGCCTAGTGGGCCTATTTGGGTTTTAGAGACAACACATTCCTCATTTGGGTGTGTTACTCCAGCCCATTTGCTAAGTCACTCTAACGTGTCTAGTTTTGAGTGGGGCCCATCGCAGAAGACTGCAACAGGTCCAGGCTGCTGTGCAACCTGCTTTGCCACTTGGACCACCAGCGGATCCAGTGGTACTTGAGGTCAGTGGCAGACAGGGAGGCTGCTTAAAGCCTTTGGCAGGCCCCTGTAGATGAATCGCAGTACAGCCTTGGGATTTTAGAGCAAGGCCCTGCCGTCATCTGCAAATAACTTCATTCCTTTTGAGAGACAGCTCTTGGCCTAATACTGGGCCCTAGTAGAAACTTAATGTTTGACCATCAGCCACAAAGTTGCCATGTGACCTGAGCTGCCCATCATGAAATGGGTGTTGTCTGTGATCTGACCCACCAAACCATACATTGGGCATGTACGGCAGAACGCTCCCGTCAGGTGGAAGTGGTATATATGGGATCAGGTCTCAGCAGGTCCTGAAGGCACAAGTAAGTGACATAAGGAAGTGGTCCAAAGGCCCATGGTTCTTACTTTGCCCACTGCCTTCTCTCTCCAGCCTGTACCTGTGGTCTCCTGGGGAGTTCCCTATGATCAGTTGACAGTGGAAGAGAAGACTCAGCCTGGTTTACAGATGGCTACAGATGACTCTGCACTATATGCAGGCACCACCCAAAAGTGGACAGCTGCAGCACTGTAGCCCCTTGCTGGGACGTCTCTGAAGGACAGGGGTGAAGGGAAATCCTCCTGGGCAGAGATTCAGGCAGTGCACCTGCTTGTACACCTTGCTTGGAAGGAGAGATGGCCAGATGAGTGATTATATACTGATTCCTGGGCTGTGCCTGATGATTTGGCTGGATGGTCAGGGACTTGGGGACTTGGAAAGAATATGATTGGAAGATTGGTGACAAAGAAATCTGGTGGCCTGACATAGTGGCTCACACCTGTAATCCCAGCACTTTGGCAGGCCAAGGTGGGAGGATTGCTTGAGCCCAAGGAATTCGAGACCAGCCTGGGCATCATAGTGAGACACCCCGCCCCCCATCTCTAAAAAAAATTTAAAAATTAGCTGGGCATGGTAGCTCATGCCTGCAGTCCCAGCTACTTGGGAGGCTGAGGTGGGAGGATCACTTGAGCCTATGAGGTTGAGGCTGCAGTGAGCTGTGATTGCTCCGGCCTAGGCAACAGAATGAGACCCTGTATCAAAAAACCCAACCAAACAAAAAAGAAACTGGGGGAAGATGTATATGGATAGACCTCCTGAGTGGGCAGAGGACATGAGGTATGTGGGTAGGATGACCTACGTGGATTCTAGTCAGCCTCTTTCCTTAGCCACCCCGTCATCGCCTGATGGGCTCAGGGACAAAGTGGTCATGGTGGCAGAGATGGAGGTGATGCGTGGGCTCAGCAACATGGACAGCCCACTCACCAAAGCTGACCTGGCTATGGCTACCACTGGGTGCCAGTCTGCCAGCAGCAGAGACTAACACTGAGCTCCAATATGGCCCCATTCGCCAGGATGATCGCTGCACCTGGTCGAAGGCACATTGGACCACTTCTATTTTGGAAGGGGCAGCATTTTGTCCTTACTGGACCAGGCACTTATTCTGGATACAGATTCATCTTCCCTGCACACAGTGCTTCTGCCAAAGTCACCATCCATTGATCCACAGAACACCATACCCACTGTCATGCTGTCCACATAACACTGTTTCCAAGGAACTCACTTCACAACCAAAGAAGTGTGGCAATGGGCTCATGTGCATGGAATTGGCGGGTGAGCACGAGCCCACTGGTTTCACCTATCATGCTAAGTGGAACTATGACCTTGTTATTGCCTTTATTTGGAAATTAAGTATGACTTAAGATGCCAGTGGGTGCCTATGGGTGCCAGTTGATAAGGGGTAGACCTGTGATGATTGATTTTGGATGTCAACTTGACTAGATTAAGGAATGCCCAGATAGATGGCAAAGCATTGATTATTCTCTATGCTTCAGTACACACTGAGCCTGTCCCTTTTCTGCTGACAGGGAAACCCAGTGGTTTGACATTATGTAGAATGATCGGGCTGCCCCAGATGTGTCTGTGAGGGGTTTTTTTGGAGGACACTGGCAATTGAGTCACTCAACTGGGTGGGGAGGATCTGCCCTCCATGTGGGCAGGCACCATCCAGTCAGCAGGGGCCTGGATGAAACAAAAGGCTGGAGGAAGGGCGAATCCTGGCTCTCTGTCCCGGAGCTGGGACGCTCTTCTCCTGTGCTTGGATGTCAGAACTCCAGATTTTCTGGCCTTTAGACCCTGGGACTCGTACAAGTGGTCCCCGGGGTCTTTGACCTGGAACTGGGAATGACCGTGTTCCCCACCATCCCGAAGCAGCTGACTTGAAAGAAGGGCAGTAGAGTCTTTTGAAGTTGCAATTACAACGCCAGCTAGGTGACAGTACTTTGTAGGGCTGGGGCAGGGGTCTTCAAAAGGCTGTATGTACTCTGTATCAGCATCCAATATATGGTGCTGGTTTCTACCATAGCCAGGATTCACAGGTCCAGGAATCAAGGGGAGGAAATGGGAGTGGCACCGTGCATCATATCCCCTAGGGACCCACTAGCGAAATTTTTACTTCCTGTTCCTGTGACTTTATGCTCTGCTGGCTTGGAGGTCTTCGTTCCAGAGGGAGGAATGCTCCTCCCAGGAGACACAACAGTGATTCCATTGAACTGGGGGAAAGGCTGCCACCTGGCCACTTTGGGCTCCCTGTGCCTCTGGGTCAGCAGGCTGAGAGGGGAGTGATAGTGTTGGCTGTGGAAATTGATCTGGACTACCAAGGGGAAATTAATCTGGACTGCTCCACAATGGAGGTAAGGAAGAGTGTCTGGAGTACAGGATACTCCCTAGGGCATCTCTTAGTATTACCATGCCCTGTGATTAAGTCAATGGGAAATTACAAGGATACAATCCAGGCAGGACTGTGAATGACTCAGACCCTTCAGGAATGAATGTTTGGGTCACTCTGCCACTTAAAGAACCACAGCCAGCTGAGGTGCTTGTTGCAGACGAAAGGAACACAGAACAGGACAGAGGGAGGTAATTAAAATAAATACCAGCTCCAACCACGTGACCAGTTACAGAAACAAGGGCAGAATTGCCGGGAGTACTTCCTCCCTATTTTGTTCAGAATACGGTTGTATGCATTTATTTGTATATTAGGCAAGTATCTGTTTTCTTTCCTCTCTTACTCCTTATTCTTAGAACATGTGTTGAGTCTAGAGCAGTATTTAGGTATTAATTTTACATCATAGTATTTAAGTTATTGAGTATCAGAGGAGAGAGGAGTGAATGGCACTCAAGGACTCTACCCCCTCTCTGGAGAAGGGATTGATGTGTCTTTGGTATGTAGCATAGTAGTGTCATGATAGGTGGAACTAGGACCTTGATATTGTCCTTGGAGATTAAGTATGGTTTAAGGAGATGCCAATGGGTGCCTATGGGTGCCAGTTGATAAGGGGTGAACCTGTGATGATTGATTTCAGATATCAACTTGACTAGATTAAGGAATACCTGGATAGATAGTAAAGCATTGATTATTCTCAATGCTTCAGTATACACTGAGCCAATCCCTTTTCTGCGGAAAGGGAAACCCAGTGGTTTGGCATTGTGTAGAATGATCGGGCTACCCCAGGTGTGTCTGTGAGGGTGTTTTCGGCATTTGAGTCACTCGGCTGGGCAAGGAGGATCTGCCCTCCATGGGGGCAGGCACCGTCCAATCAGCTGGTGGCCTGGATGGAACGAAAAGCTGGAAGAAGGGCGAATCCTGGCTCTCTGTCCCAGAGGTGGGACGTCCTTCTTCTCCTGCAGTCGGATGTCACAACTCTGGGTTCTCTGGCCTTTAGACTCTGGGACTCATACCAGTGGTCCCCGGGGTCTTTGGCCTGGGGCTGAGAATGACCCCATTGGCTTCCCTGGTTCTGAGACCTTCAGACTTGGCTGAGCCACACTCCTGGCTCCCCTGGGTCTCCAGCTTACAGATGGCCTGTAGTGGGACTCAGCCTCCATAACCGAGCAAGCCAGTTCCTCTAACCCATCCCTTCTCATCTATCTCTCCCTCTCGATCCTATGGGTTTTGCGTCTCCGGAGAATCCTGGCTCATGCAGTTATGGGCTGGACCAGTTAAGAATCTGGTGGAGAGGAGGCTGGAGCTGGAAGCCCAGGGAGATGGCGGTTCATATCCCTGACCTGCCAGTTGGGATGGACGCTGGTGGCATCTCCAAGGTGGTGTGGGTAGGCTTCGGTAACTAGGTGAATGTGGGGTGTAGAGAAGGGTGAAGAACTGCAGATGCCTCGGGTTCCCAGCTAGTTTGGGGGTCATCGTGAATGATGACCTACAGGCTAGGGGAGTAGGTCCGAGGAGGTGCTTTGAACCTGTCCCAAGTCGAAGTGCTCCGAGTGGACATGTCTGGCAACTGGGCACAATGCTCAAGCAATCCTCCCACCTCAGCCCCCCTAGTAGCTGGGACTATCAGAGCACACCACCACCTCCAGCTAATTTTTAAATTTCTCATAGAGATGGGATCTCCCTATGTTGTCCAGGCTGGTCTCGAACTCCTGGGCTCAAGCAATCCTCCCAAAGTGCTAGGATTATGGGCATGAGCCACATGAGCTCACCCTCTGCCGCTTGGGTGCCACTGCCCTATCCTGGCTTAGAAAGCTCTGGCCATTCCCTAGGCTGCACCTGCCTCCTGCGCCCAGACCCATCTGGCATTGTCTTCCCTACAGGGGCCTCTCCCACCTCTCCCTCTCGCCCCTGTGGCCCATATGCCCCCTCAGGAGAGTCCCTCTCCGCCCTTGTAGCCTCAGTCACTGTCACCTGTATTCTGCTGACCCCATTTCACACTCTTCATGCTGCCTGTTCCCACCAGCTGGCCCACACCCCTCTCGCTTCCCTTTCCAAAACCGGGTCCCCTCACACCTCCCCTCTCCCCAGGGATGTCACCTTCAGCAGGTAGCCCTGCCATCCATGGTCTACCCTGTCACACAGACACAGGCACCCTCAGCCGTGCCAGGGACAGCTGCTGTTGTGGGCAGCCCAGTGACCTGTGCGCTCCAGGAGGGCAGGACCCGGCCACGTGGCCGTTGTTCACTGCTGAGTCCCCAGTAGTTAGGTCCACGGTAGGTTCTTGGACACCTGTTGGATGAAGGAGTAACAGGAAGACCGGTGGCATAGTGGATCCTAGCAGGGTCTGGGAGAGCTTGATGTGGGCTCGGGGTATGGGTTCTGGGGGTGGGGACTCCCCATCACGGAGCTGGACTGCCAGGTGTTCTGTTCTCAGACGAGACTTCCTTCCATGCCCCCGTGGCAGGTCAGGAACTCTGAACAAGCCTCCATTCTCAGGAGCGGTTAGTGGACCACTTGTCATTCTTGCTTTCATTCAGACATTTGCCGAGCACCTACTATATGCAGCCAGTCTCCTGGGGCCGAGGATAAAAAGAATGAGGAAGCTTTCATTGTCTAGTGGGTGAGACAGGCCCATCTCTGCTGATGATAGCGCTCAGGGCATCAGAGGACACTGGTGGCGGGGGCGGCCAGGTTGGAAAGGCAGGAAGGGTGCTGGTGTGTGGCCGAAATGAGCGCAGAGAGGCAGGAGGGCCCACAGACCTGGAGACGTTTGTGCAACTGCAAGTAACGTGGGAGAGGGGTTCGTGCTTTAGGGAACGAAGACGCGTTGGGGACACAGCAGTGGTTTTTGAGAATCAGTCAGCAGGCTGGGTCCCAGGTGTGCTCCTACAGCGGGAGGGACCAGGACCTGGGGGCTCCTAGAGGGTGAGCCTTGCCCTTGATCCCTCAGGGCAGGGACTGAGGGCACCTCGGACGATTGCCTGTTGCCATCAATCACCTTCATTGTTTTGCGTGTGTCGAGGGATGGCTGAGCCCGGGGCCTTCCTAGCCACATCCTACAGCAGTCGACTTTTTCGCTCTACGGTTTCCACCACGGAGGCCTTTGGAGCACAGCAGAGCTGGGGTGGGAGGGATACCAGTTTTCCTTTGTGATGCCCAGCCTGGAGGAGGTGGAGATGGATGGAGTGGAGGGGGCTGTGGGAGGTACATGGGCTGGGGTCCGTCTATAGTGGGGTTAGTGACAACAGCCACCAACCGGATGCGGCACATCTGAGCACGCTTCCGGGTGCTGTGCGTGCGTGAAGTCATTCATTCGTCATAGCGTCAGTGATACCTATAGGGCAGGTACTACCCATTTTACAGATGAAAAAAAACTAGGATGGCTCCGGGCCTCCCAGCCACCCAGGGGAAGAGCTGGGAGCTGAGCCCTAGCAACCTGGCTCCCAGTCTTACTCTTCACCACCATTCCCTGCCACAAAGAAGGAGCGAGGAAGAAATAAGCGATCCGAGAGACAGGTCAACAGAGCGGATGTCCCTGTGGCTGGGTAAATAGGATGCAGGGGCTGCTGAGAGTCAGAAGTGGTCCCAGGTACACGGGGATGGGTGTCTGAGCTAAACGGAGAGAAAGTCGAGTCAGCTGCAAGATGTTCTGGATATGCAGGTGTGCTCTGTGATATTGGCTAATTAGGGTGTCTTTTTTCTTTTGCTTTTGCTCTCTTATTTTCTTTGAGATAGAATCTCGCTCTGTCATTCAGGCTAGGGTGCAGTGGCACAGTCTCAGCTCGCCGTAGCCTCCACCTCCCAGGTTCCGGTGATTCTTCCACCCTAGCCTCCTCGGTAGCTGGGATTACAGGCACATGCCACCATGGCTAATTTTTGTATTTTTAGTAGAGACAGGGTTTCACTGTGTTGGCCAGGCTGGCCTCGAACTCCTGAGGTGATCTGCCCACCTCAGCCTCCCAAAGTGCTGGGACTACAGGCGTGAGCCACTGCGCCCAGCCGTCTTTTTTCAGTTGAGGTGAAATTCACATCGTATAAAACGAGGCATTTTAAAGTGAACAGTTCAGTGGCGTTTAGTACATTCACAGTGTTGTGCAGCTATCCCCTCTGTCTCGTTCCAAAACATCTTCATCCCCCCAGAGGGAAACCCCATCCACATTAGGCGTCACCTCCCATCCTCCCTCCCCAGTCCCTGGGAACCGATCTGTATTCTGACTCAACGGGTTTGACTCTGTGCTGGACAGTTCATATAAACAGAACCATACATTGCGTGGCCTTCTGCATCTGACTTCTGGCTAATTAAGTTTTGCACAGAAGATTGAAGCGTTTCCTAAGTGGAAGCTGGATTTCCCGTCCTGGCTCAGTCGTAGAGGCCACGTGAAGGTGGGATGGAAGAGTTGGATCCAAACAGCTTGTTAAGAGGTTGGCTGGGAAACACGACCACCTGTCTTTTTCTCCATATCCCTCGTCACCAGAGACTCAGCCACTATCCTCTTGGCAGCCAGTGATCTTGTTACTTATTTATATTTTTCCTCATTGATCTATTAAAAATGCCACCTGTTGTCAGTTCCCTTCTGAAGCCCATCAGCCGTTCCCATTGCTCTTACGGTGAACTTGCAAATCCGTGACGTGGTCTTTGGGGTGCATGTGGCCCCTCCTAGGCTTACCCCGTGCCACTCCCTCCTCGCCGTGGTCCACCTCAACTGTGATGCCAGAGGTATTCCCATGGGGACTGACCCTGAGGCTGGGGATCTGCAACTCATGGCGCTCCTCCTCCTGGGGGGCAGGAGCTGTTTCCAGGATTAGTTGCTGACAGGGTTGCAATTTGGTGCCACTTCCAAATCCTGTTAACCTGTCTGGGACCAGAACTTCAGCTTTAGCAAGTTGCTTTCTTAATTCCTTTCCTTCCGGTTTTCCAATGCATATCAGGCCCCGAAGGGGGTGGACTGTCTTTCATTTGACAGA